TTTTTACTTAGTATATAGAATTTAGTTTTCTACTTAACTAAGTTATTATAATATTTAAAAATAAATAAATAATAAATAAAAAAAGCCTAAATTAGCTTTAGCAGTTTAATTAATATTTAAAGCTATATATAAAAAGAATATTAGCTTTTTATTCTTAATAAGTATAAAAGTTACTACTTTATAGATTTTAAAATATTTTCTTAAGAAAATAATATTTTTACTTTTTATATACTACTTTATTTTTCTTATTTACTTTAGCTCTTAAATATAAAATACTTTAGGCTTTTAAAGTTAGTATATAGTTAAGAAAGTAAAAATAAAATATAATAAAGTAATATCTATATTACTAAAGATAACTTTTTTTTAGTATTTTATAACGCCTTTAAGTAAGCTCTTATAAAAAAAATATTTAAAGAGGTTTTAAAGGGTTAAGAATTATCTCTTTAAGTATAAAAAGTATATTATTAAAGCTAGACGTTAGGTTATATACTTTAATACCTTTAGGCCTTTTTTTAATAATACCCTTAGCTTAAACTTCTTAAACACTATATACTATATTAAAAGTAAGTTCTTAAGGAACTTTAATTAAGAATTACTTTATTAATTATCTAAATAGCTTCTTAATATATAGTTTAATAGCTACTAAGTATATTCTTAAAAAAGCACTAAGATATATATATAAAAATACTTTATTAAGACCTAAGGTTAAAAGCCTTTAAAAAGAGAATAACTTATTTAACTAATATAAAAGAATAAAGAAAATTTACCTTAAATAAAAAAAAGTCTTACTATAGCTAATATATAAGATATTTAGTTACAAAGAGAGGCTATAGCCTAAGTATAAAAGGGATTACGTTAAAGTAGTAGTTATAGACTAAGAATAAAAATAGGTTAATAGCGTTATAGTACTTATAAGAACGCTAGATATAATATATAAATATATTATTTTAATAAAAAGATATCTAAAGTAAAGGATTTTAAGTAGTTTAAATTAATTTAACTATATTATTATTAGTTCTTTATTATCTTTATAAGGTAGTTATAGTAGGCTAATTGCTTTACTTATCTAATTAACTTACTTATTATATATATTAATTAAATTACTTAATAAAAACATTATAATCCCTATAATTTACTAGTTATTAATATTAATATTAAAAGTAGCTAGAGGGCTATTACGTTATAGCTAGTATTTAAAAGACACCTTTTATTTAAATTCTTAGTTACTAAGGCCTGGTAGGCTAACTAGGCTAGCTAGTAGTTTACTAGCTAATAGTAAGATAAATATAAATTTATTATTCTATAGTTAACCTCTTATTGATTTATTTAGTTATAGTATTAATTATACTAGTTAACCTAGCTAAGTAAAAATAAGTTAAATACCTAAACTATTTATAACTTATTTAGAAAAGTATAAAAAGAATATAAGGAGTATATATTAAAAGTAGCCTTTTTAAGAAGGTAAGTTAACTTATTATAAGCCTAATTAGGTAATATATAGTTATATAAAAAGCAAAAGGTCTACTTAATACCTAATAGTACCTTTACTACTATAGATGGTATAGTCTAGGCGTAATATCTAGATACTAGTAATATAGATAGTCTAGATAAATCTAAGGTATCTAAATTGCCTAGTAAGGCCAAAAGTTATATATAGGTGGGCGGTAAAGATAGTGAAATAAGTGGTGATAGTGGTGGTGATGATAGTGATTATAATGTCTTGGATGTGGGGGTGTCTCGCAAGTAGGGTAGGGGAGTTACCATTCGCTGGGCATTTGTTGAAACTGTGGTTGGAATTCCGATATGCTTGGCCAATACATACTTTAGACTCTGAACCGGGTTCATCGCCATAGTGACCCTACTATCCACAAACCTGAGATTTGAAATTCTTAATATGGTCCATAATCACTTAGAAGTTCCCTTCACTCCGTTACTATACATAGTAATGGTTGTGATTACAAACTCTCTATGTCTGATGCCTTTTTACTATCGAGACTGTGGGAATCCCACCTGCCATGGAATTTCCTACTAACTCCTCATGTAATGGACTTTTTCACCTCAACTAGACTAGGCTCCATGTTTCGTCTGTTGGCGTCAGCGTTCTAGATGTTACTATACCATTTTCACTACGAAGACGTTTTCTCGTACAAGAACCCTTGCCCTTTCCCTTCGGCACATCATCCGTGGCCATGCTAAACTCTTTGCGTCGGAACTCGAATGTTGCGGAATGCATTTTACTGGCCCAGATGACCTGGAAAGTATTGGCAATAAGGCGAAACACTCCACTAGAGACTACACAGAAGACTTCAGCGATGAATCACTGCATTGTTAATGGGCTCGTAATAACAACCTCAATTTACTCTCGCTCTGTTTCGCGGCTTTATATGTGAGCGCTAGCTGTCTAAGTCTGCCTACCCGTCTTGCTAATCACGATTTAATTCTTTCACTGCATATTTCATACCTCATATGCGAACAGTCAATATCTTCGGTAGCTATATGGATTGTACACGACTCTTCTCCCTTTTGAGTTCTCCTGGCTATGTATCAAATGGCTTGATCATACCTCCCGTTTCTACATTTTGGATCTTTCGTTGACTGCATAGTCTGGTGGGACGTTCTATCACCAATGGCTAGTATGAGAGGCTCGGCTTCTGGATGATGATGATGATGATGATGATATTATTTAAACGCCCAACAGGTCCAATCCATGTGGCACAAGGCGCCCGCTGCTAAGCTATCGTTTCTACTGAGAGCCCAAGACTCCCCTGCCAGGGGGGGTCTTAGGCAAAACAACGTCCCCGCTAAACAGTGTGAATCCACTATCGCAAGCCTAAAAATCGGTGTTTCTCTCCCAAAGATACATCTGAAGTTGCGAGCACTAGGTGATAACTGTGTAGAGAAGTTGTCTCTTTTACTATCCGTAGAAGGAGGGAGACGGCGGGTGTTCTAGGTCGCAGGGGTAAGTGTGTGGCATGGGACGGGAGCGTCCCATGCAGAGGAGTAGTGGGGGAGGAGAGGTGTAAGTGGAGAGGCGTATGCACATGGGAGGACCCTGGCCGGCCGACGGTCAGGGGTAACCCGCGACGGTGCTAGATTAAGCTACGGGGTAGCCCCCGGCTGGCGGCAGCCGTGGGGCTAGCTTGGCTTCTGGATCAGTATCGGACTGGGAGTCAGGATCCAGAGGTTATATTATCTGTGGTGTTGATCTTAGGTGTTATGGCTGTCGCTGTGTTCACTACGTTGCTATTCACGCTCAGCGGCTACGTCTTTCCCTATATGCTGCCGACTTCCTAAGCTCTGTGAGCAGCTCACTATTTTTGAACAGAATAAAACCATGTTTCAATATTGAGAACGACTCAGAACCGCTATTAGATTACTCTGAACCACTTGCAACATTTGTTTACATTAGCTCTCTGTCGTATCAAGACGATGGATGGTCCACCAAGCCTATACGTGGTGGGTATCATTCAACTGGGCTAGTAATTTGCACCCATGTTCACCCTATTTGGCTCTTCGGTATCCGTCATAGCTCTGGCTCAGCCTTTATTGCTATTTCAACGCTTACCCATGTAAACCTTCTTATTACGGAGTGACAGGAACTGGAGGTGCTACATACCTTGGTAAATACTATTTATTTTTTAATCTCAATAAGAACCTTTGACACAGTATTATCAAATATCCCACACTGCCTTTTCGCCTTCATGATAACCATCTTCCGTACCTAATACCACTCTGCTCAGCTTGGCTGTGGCTGGGGTAGTTGAGGCTAGCGTTCAGCAAGCTGCGGAGATGACAGACGAGTTTGAAATGATTCATATTGTCAACGCGCCGCCGCAATCGCTTTTTGCAGCCAACTGATTGGATAACTAGCGAGATCTTTGATGTTGGTATACCGCCTATACACCACGGCTTTTTATTTTCCTAGCGATGGCTTTCCTATGCCCTCAGCTGATATATTGATTTCTACGGCTGGATTTGTCTATCGCAAACATCTTTCTCCAGTGTTCATTGGTTTTGACCTGACCACATATGGTCCGTGAGCTGCTATTAGGATTAAAACGGACTCGAAGCAAGGTTCCAGGCTTTCTTTCTAAGTTCCTTGTAGCGTCGCTCTGGCTGATGGTTCGCATCATCGTCACACTGTTCTTCTTATATTTACAGACGACGGCGGGTCTGTATGTTGTGCTGAAGATAGTTTTTGCTTAGAAGATAAGTGGTGTAAATCATTTTGGCGGTTTGATCCCCTGGAAATACGCAAAGAGGGCACCTCTTATTTCCGCAGCAAAGAGGCTTGTCTAGGAGAGGTCCTCTTCAGCCTTGTGGCGTACTTTGCCGTCTCTTCACGTCACACATTTGTAGGGTGGAAGTGCAACCATACCCTCTCAGGTTGGAATCCCTTAGTTCCATAGGGCGGTCAATGATTCAGTCAGTAGACTTGTATGTCTACAAGCTTTGCAGCAAAGTTATGTCATCACATGAAAGGACTTTTTTCTGCGCTGGAAATGTTTATGATTAATGGGTAATATAATCATGTTTCGCTTCATCGGATCTTAAGTCAAAACATTATTGTGAATTCAAGAAGATCTTATCTGCCATCGTAATTACTAAGCCTTGCAGCAGCCTCTTGAAATTTCTTGACAGAACAGTTGATATTAAAACTTGCCTTTATTTCAATAAAACATTCGGTTCACTATCCCGTAGTTGAAAAGATTACATTTGTCCTGGGCAAGTGTCTCTGAATCAGTTTTTGGTGTCTTGTGCAAGGTTCCTCTCGATGATACGTTTAAAGGTAACTCTGCCTAGCCGACAATGCTTTTTCAATGTTCCATTCATGAAGCCTCTCGAAATTAGAATTATACATAACAAAACATGGCCAAGTGCCCATTTTATCATTTCGGTGGCAGATGCTTGTGAGCTAAATTCCCCTCGTTCTGATGTTGAATTGGTCGATGACCAGGTTGATGTTGTCAATTAACAACCATCAGTGACCGAATTCTTCCTCATACAATTGCTCTTCTGAAAGCGTCCATAAATTTCCATACGTCTTGAAATGTGCAATACAGAGGCACCGGCGCAACACGAATGACACCTGGTTTCCGCTTGTCACAAACAACACCTGCACTGACGAAAGTCTCAGAAACACGGTCCAGCAGGCCGTCCCTCAAGAGGATACTGAGCTGAGCACCTCTTTCATGTGCGTTTCTTGGAGTAATAATTCGGAAAGATGACTCACTGCCCGTGTCGTCTGTCAATATGGTGTCTAACAGGTGCTCTGCGTACGCCGTCAGAACGAGTGACTTCGTTCGCAGTTCAGTCATGTTCGTCTTGCTGAATACAGAAAGAGCACCTGAGAGCGATGCTAAGTCAATCGCTGAAGGGTTCGATACTTGAAAACCACCAGCACCGACGGTAGGGAGGAACTTGTTATCCATATTGAATCGTACAGATTTATCGCCTCCGTACCATCCTGTGAGTCGGTGACGGAACTGTGGCTTGCCCTTACTTGTGTCAACCTTTCCGTGCCGTTCGTGCACGAAAGCACCAGCCATGGATCCTGGTCCTGCATTCTGGTATTTGTAGGTACACCATGCAGCAAAGTCGACATTCCAGTCATGAAGCTTCAACTCCACGTTACCAGCTGCGTGTGCAAGGTCCCAGCCAACGATGATGCCCTGTGACTGGGCGTATTCAGTAATGCGAGACATGTCGAAAAGTTGCCCACTGTAGTATTGAATACCGGGAAGTAGGATCAAGGCAGTTTCTTCCGCGTGCTCATCGATCGTCTTCAAAATCAAATCCGTAGAAATATAAAAGTTCTCATCGGGTTGGATCTGGACCATCGACTTGGCTGGGTCCAAGCCATGCCACTGGATTTGAGATTCGATGACATACTTCTCATATTAGTAAAACATTCAAGTTATGTCAAGGCAACAGTAGCTTACATGATCACTGGGAAATGGCCTCCATTCAAGAATAATCTTGTGCTTCTTGTCTGTTGGTCGGTAGAAGCTTGCCATCAAGAAATGCAAATTGACAGTCAAGGTGTTCATCATAACAACCTCTTCAGGCAAAGCGCCGACAATTTGCGCACTCTTCTTTGCTACATCCTCTGCCATGTCTTGCCAGCACACCAGTGGGGAGTTTTCGAGTCCCCGAAAGTGACCGTTTACCCCAATTGAGGCCCAGGTCTCCAATTGAGCATGAATGTACTCCTTGACTGCCTTGGGTGGAACTCCCAAAGAGTTGCCACAAAAGTAGACTGACGGGGTTTCGTCGTTTTCTGTTGACTCGCTAGCTGAATGAATGCTGTTGATACCGTTTGCTTGGCCATTTAATGCTTGCTTATCTGTATCAGTACTTAGCAAAACCAGACTCCGCAAAAGCGAGCCAAACTGCCTGACATTGCAGTCCTTTCGGAGTACTTACTGGGAAGGATGCCATTCAATGACTTTTTCTTCAAGGAACCCTTTGTCGGTATGATGAACTCATCGCGCAGGTGCCTGAGACTGTCTTGTGCGTCAAGTTCCTGGGCGAATTCAAAAGTGGTCGCATTGGCAGGGAACTTAGCGGAGCGACCGGATCGGATCTGCTCTGCAAAGATAGTAAACTCCATCTTGAATCGTATGAGAGACTAGCATCAAATGCAGCTGATAAACTGGGAATCTGAGATGCAACATAAGTTTTAGAAGACTCTAGGCATTTCTTATGTCTTTGTACTCGGTGTCTCCTCTCGGAAACTGAGATAATAGCGCCGCATCGTCATTCCGTATGCCACACGCGGCCCCTCCCAGTATCCGCCTTCCGCTTCCGTTCAAGCTTAGCGCATCCGCCTGTAACCGATCCGGACGGGTCTCGGTTTGACCCACTTACACCTCGGGGTGACAAGAGATTCCTCAGTGTATGTATCCGTACAACGAAGTCAACGAGTGATGCGGGAAGTAGAAATCGGCATTGCAATTGCGGTAAATACTTCTTTGTCTCAGTATTCCTGACTCGCATTGATTTTGTTCTTCACATGCACACTGATTCATCAGTTTCTTTGTTCCATCAAACATACAACATTCGTTCTGCCTTTTCAGCTGCCGCCGGCGACTGGTCTTGAAAGCGTCATCTGCCCCGATGTCTCCTCACGCTCTTCCTATATCTCCTGAGATAGCACAAATCAATGTCATTCCTCTAAGGAAATACGCCATCACTCCGAATGGTTTTCTTCCTGCGGACGCACCCCTCAAAGTCCTTTCCGATCCCTATTTTGCACCCTGGGAAAGGGTCATTCAACACCTTCCCGAAACTCTCAAAACTGGAAAGCTGCGGAGAGAAGTGGAATCTCTCCCCGTATTGTCGATAGATAAGCTACGAAACGAAGCGGAGTATCGACGGGCGTACGTTATTTTGGTTTTTCTGGCGCATGCCTATGTTTGGGGCGGTAAAAATGCCGCAGAGGTGAGCGACTGGTCACCTTTTATATTCATATCTCAGATTTCTCATATCGAAACTAGGTTTTGCCGCCGGCTGTGTCAGTACCACTCCTCCGCGTCTCTAAGGCCCTTGAAGTTCCTCCCGTTGCGACCTACGCTGGGCTAAACTTGTGGAACTTCTGGTCAAACACGGATGACTTGACCGACCTGGACTCGTTAGAGTCTCTGCACACTTTCACTGGCACTAAAGATGAAGCTTGGTTTTACTTGGTTTCAGTGGCCATGGAAGCCCAGGGTGCCCGTATCATCACTGATACACTTAACGCACTAGAGTCTATCAAGAGAAGGGATTACCCAGCCATCACATCAGCACTTGATGGATTGTCTGCTAATATTCGACGGATCGGTGCGCTCTTGGAGCGCATGTACGAGCATTGTAATCCCATGGTCTTCTTCTATGAAATCCGCCCATTCTTGGCAGGCAGCAAAAACATGGCGGCGGCTGGTCTACCTAATGGTATATTTTACGACGAAGGAAATGGCCGTGGTAGCTGGCAGCAACTTCGAGGAGGCAGTAATGGCCAGAGCTCTCTCATCCAATTCCTTGACATTGTGTTGGGCGTCGAGCACACATCAGAAGGGAATAGCACCTCGCACACGAGCAAAAACACACCCAATCACATAAAAGTGTCGGCATTCCACGAGGAGGTCCGCAATTACATGCCTGGGCCACACAAGCGATTTCTCGAACACGTTTCCCGAATGGGCAGCATCCGCGAGTTCGCCAAGTTGCCAGTTTCTACAGCTGAACATAAAAGCCTCCGGGAGGCGTATGAAGTTGCGATCAAGACCATGACGGAGTTCAGAAACAAGCACTTACAGATCGTTGCCCGCTACATCGTTCTTCCTTCAAAAAGGGCATACAGTGGTGCTAAAGTCGACTTGGCAAGCACATCTGCAGTCCAAGATGAGCAGCTCACTGGCACGGGAGGAACAGCATTGATGCCATTCCTTAAACAAACCAGGGACGAGACCCTAAAAGCTGGTCAGTTAGAGAGGGAGGCACGAAAGTGATAAATGGCTCCCATTTTATGGGTCATGGTATTCATAGAGTTACCAATGCCATCGGCATGGTGTTTAGACAAATTTCAACTGATCCAAGAGCAGCAACAAAATGTCATCCGCATGTAAATTTTCGCAGCATGCACCCATGCATACGAAGATATTTCCACTGATGAGGAAAGTAACGTCCGCTTCGCTTATCTGTTTTTCTGCTAAAACGCGGAAAATGGCCTGTATATCTTGGGTAGATCCCATTGGTTCCTCGCTGCACTCAGAATTATCTCATTGTTCATAGATCGGCGGAACTTGGTGCTAGGGAGTTTAAGATCGGCTCTTGTCGTATTCAGCGGCATCGCCCTCATGAGCGCACTGGAGTATTCGTTATTTCGAACATCATTGATCTCTGAACATATCCGGCAACTTCGGCTATCGCCAGGTTTATACGTTTCAGACAAACTCTCGCCCAGCTTATCCCATGACTCAATGCAAGGTTGTCCAGCAGCCTGCAGGGCGCACTTGTCTAAAAGTTAGAAATTCCCTCTGTTATGGTCTAGATGGGTCACGTAGGGGATGCACAGACGGGAATGAGGATGCAGCGCTGGTGGCAAGTTGCCTTGTGGCGTTAGTAGTCTATACCTTACGCCTTAGTAGCTAAGGCCCTGTGCCTTAGTAGTTAGTATTATTAAATTGTAGGGATTAAAATAGTTAATTAATTAATTGTTATATATATAACTATGGTAAAATCCTATAGGAATAAGGAAATCCCCCTATTACTTAGTTAGGAAATCCTAGACTAATGCTAATAATATTATTAGTAAATTATAATTAAGGTAAGGCGGTTTTACTACTTAATCCCTAGTACTTTACTATAAGCTAACTACAGATTTACTAGTAAACTTATATATACTTTTACTATATTTAATATATCTCTTTAGTATTAGTAATATATTAACTACTATAAGGCTTATATTAAATATTCTTTATATATAGCCTATTTATTTATTAATTTTTTTTTAATATATTATATATTTCTTTTTTTTAATTATTAATAAAGCTTTACTTTATTATTAACTAGTTTTTACTATTAATTAAGTTTTAAGTAATATATATAATAAGTAAGTTAATTAGATAAGTAAAGTAATTAGCTTATTATAACTACCTTATAAAGATAATAAAGAACTAATAATAATATAGTTAAATTAATTTAAACTACTTAGAATCCTATACTTTAGATATTACTTTATTAAACTAATATGTTTATATATTATATCTAGGGTTCCTATAAGTACTATAACGCTATTAACTTATTTCTATCCTTAGTCTATAACTACTACTCTAACGTATTTCCTTTTATACCTAGGCTATAGCCTCTCTTTATAACTAAATATCTTATATATTAGCTATAGTAAGACTTTTTTTTTATTTAAGGTAAATTTTCTTTATTCTTTTATATTAGTTAAATAAGTTATTTTCTTTTTAAAGGCTTTTAACCTTAGGTCTTAATAAAGTATTTTTATATATATATCTTAGTGCTTTTTTAAGAATATACTTAGTAGCTATTAAACTATATATTAAGAAGCTATTTAGATAATTAATAAAGTAATCTTTAATTAAAGTTCTTTAAGAATTTATTTTTAATATAATATATAGTGTTTAAGAAGTCTAAGCTAGAGGTGTTATTAGGAAAAAACCTAAAGGTATTAAAGTATATAACTTAACGTCTAGCTTTAATAGTACACTTTTTATACTTAAAGAGATAATTCCTAACCTTTTAAAACCTTTTTAAATATTTTTCTTTATAAAAGCTTACTTAAAAGCGTTATAAAATACTAAAAAAAGGTTATTTTTTATAATATAGGTATTACCTTATAATATTTTATTTTTAATTTCTTAACTATATACTAACTTTAAAGGCTTAAAGTATTTTATATTTAAAAGCTAAAGTAAATAAAAAAAATAAAGTAGTATATAAAAAGTAATAATATTTTTTTCTTAAGAAAATACCTTAAAATTTATAAAATAGTAACTTTTATAGTTATTAAAAATAAAAAGGTAATATTCTTTTTTATATATAACTTTAAATATTAATTAAAGTACTAAAGCTTATTTAGGTCTTTTTTATTTATTATTTATTTATTTTTAAATATTATAATAACCTAGTTAGGTAAAAGACTAGATTTTATATACTAAGTAAAAAGAAAACTTTTACTTTTAATAATAATATATAGTAAGACACTATAACTAAATAAACTAATAGTTTAAATAACTATAACCTATTTTTAATTACTAAGCTATACTAGTTTTATATTTAAACGTCTTTTAGAGCTTATAATAACTATTCTAAATATAATCCAGCTTATTATAAAGCTAGTCTTATTAAAGTTATAAATATCTAACTTTAATAAGACTTTATTTTATAATTATATTTACTATAAAAAGACCTATATATTTATTATATTAGGATTTTTATATTAGGCTTTCTTATAGTTATATTACTAAAATAAATATATTTAAAGCTTTAGTGTTTATCTAATAAAGTTTAAGGCCTAGTACTTACTAACTAGTAATATATCATAGTTAGTAAGTAGTTTTTTAGCTATTTCTTTAATACTACTAAGCTAAAAAGAAAGTAATTAGAAATCTAAGTTAAAAATAAACTTAACTAACTTCCTCTCTTTAAGTTTTATTAAATTCTATAAGTTAGCTATAGTGTTACGTTATAAAGGTTCTTTATTAAAATAGTTTTATAATATAAAGAAAAGTACTAAATAGATATATAATATAGCTAAATACTAGTTTTATAAGGTCTTTAAATAGCTTTAATAGCTAAAGGTAATTAGGCTTTATTATTTAGTAAATATATTATTTCTAGTAGTTAGACGTATAGTAAAAAGAAGAAGAGACTATAATTATAGCAGGCTAATTACTTTACTTATCTAATTAACTTACTTATTATATATATTAATCTTTTTAGACTTTATTATTAAACTACTAAAGTTAAGAGAACCCTTTATAAAGATATACTATAATAGCGTTCTAGTTATTATTAACTAACTTATAAAGTACGCTTACTTTATATTATAACTAAAGTTAAGTATAATAAAAGACTTTATATATACTTTCTTAAAATATATTATTAGTAACTATAGTTTACTAAAGAAAATTATTTACAATAAAAAAAAGCTATTTACTTTAAAGTTTTAGAAATCTTTTATTTTATAACTTAGTAGAGACTATAAACTACTTACTATATTTTACTTATAAACTAATAAATAAATAAATAAAATTAACTAAATACTTAAGTAGTATATATTATACTATATTAATTATAACTAAGATAATTAGGTA